GTTTTGAGCATTTTAATTAATTTTTGTAATTTAATTGGTAGTTTAATATATATTCTGTGATAAACCTCCTATATATATTATGGTTGCCTCTTCCGATTTTGTACTCAGCTGCGTACCTATAGTAAATCAAAAAAAGTATATAAATTCTTCATGTAAATCCTTGAGTTACACATTATTCATTTATGTTTTTTTTTTCTAAATGTGGTTAGCTTATATTGTTATTTAATAGAAACTTTTAATATGTTAAAATTGGTTCCATATCTAAATAATAATCATAGTAATTCTTAATAGCTTAATTTCGTTAAGTTTGAATTTTATTGACTTTTTGCTCAGACTAAGAAACATGTTGATATAAAGAGCAAATTTCACAGTAGACGGTTAAGTATTACTTACTTTAAATAACATACACAGCAATCTTCCTGCATTTTTTAGCGATTATATTAACATCATGCTTCCAATTGAGGACTATCTTTATCTATTGTAATATGCCGTTAGCAGCAGTTAATCGCTGTAATTATAGCTATTGGAAATTACAATAGTTTTTGGCTACTTTATTTTAGTATTTTCGTATTTAATATGCAGATTTATAGTCAGTAGAAAAGTATTTTATTATCTAAATTAATATTTGCTTCGTTATTATTGTAACTAGTAAGTAATAACTTCATTATGAGTATAAATTTGTTTCTTACTAATTGCAAGTTTGCTAATTCATTGACATGGCATAGGAACTATGTGGGTCCAAGTGAACTATATGACTGCTACCTTTTTTTCCTGATTCAGATTTTCCTAAATTTCGCTTATTAGAATAAATAAAATCAATTCGCTTTTCGAAATTTGGGGAAAACCATGTATTGTCTCCTACTTATTATACTATATTTATTATGGCATTCTGTAAGCTAACTATTATAACTTTAGTTTCTAATATCTTTCTGAAAATAGAAGATACTGCAATGGGATTGAAACTATTAATATCCTCAAAATGTCCACTTTTATAGATCGGTATGATTTCGCTACGTTTTAGAGTTTGCGGGAAAATGACAGATGATTTTACAAAAAAGAAAATCTAAGATATATTCATCAAAAATAAGTATTGGTCTGTAGACGACTATATTGTTGTAGCGTTTAGATAGGTTATTTTTGTGCTTGAGAAATTACCACAGAAGATATCAATTATATTAAAATTGCTATAGTTTTGTGGATCAAAATGCCAGATTCACCACTATTGCTATTAAATCTGGAATACAGAACCTTTTTGTATCCTAGAATGTTTTTTTAGGTATTTTTCATCATTTACAATCCAGGTAAGTACAATAATATGAATAGTTTCGCATGTCATATCTTGTAAATATAACACTTCATCATTATTTTTCAAACGTTTAATATTAGCATAGATAGGTTTTGGTGGCTGGTTCAATAATTTTATTTATTCTTATATTTTCTTGATGAAAGGGTAATAGGATATCAAGATTATTGAGGTTAATGGCTAACACTTATGAAAGTTAATGCTTTCATTAGCCATTTTCTTCTCAATTGTGCATATGTTGCAGTTTAATGTTTACAAAAAAAACCAATTTGTTAAAATTGGTATGATAAAAAAAATATTCAAATTACACGTATTTTTCTTTTTCTTGTTATATTTCTAACTTTAGTTACAGCTTTTAATAAAAAATAAATAGAAAATTTTTTTCTTTTCTTCACAAAGTTCAACAAAATCACAAAATCTTTTGAATTGTTTTAGTGTACATTCAAAGTTTACTATTTACAGCGATAGATTAATATGTGTAGATAATGGGCGATCTTCTTTGCAATTGAATTTAATTTCTGCATGGTTTTCTTCCTTTTATAATATCTGGAAATAACTGCTGTGCAATGATGAAGTTTTTTCTGACCAGCGAAAACCGAAACATGGAGTTTCGGTTGCTAACGTTTTCTTCTTTTCAATTGGCTCAACGCACTTGTAATGCAATGTACTATTTGTGTAAATTTTATTCCAATACAAATTGTTGTTGTATAATTTTGCATTTTGCATGGAACAGAGAAAGTTTTTCTTTTCGCTATTTTCACTGTGGAAAAATTATAGAGAGAAACCAAAATTTCGGCAAAAATAACAATGCAACTCTTTCACAGGTTTAATGCGAACAAAACATTTAAAGGATGCTGCATTTATAGCTTTTTAAAACATTTTTATTTCTGTTATTATCGTCTTAATTTATAACTTGAGGATCACTTTGCATGTTCATTATTAAACGAGTAACCTCATACTTTAAATTAACAACCATATCGTTGAAAAGATCGATGTAATACGTTCCTGTGAATCCTTCTGTGCTAACTGTAGTTTGCATAGACATAGTCAGGCTATGAGGAATAAAAAAATCTTTAATTGTTCGAATACCATTTCTGACATCACTCAAGTAAATGCATAATAATGATATAGTTTGGTCATCATTGGTATAGATTCGGATATCATAAAATATATCTTTGCTTAGAGCGAAGTTTACATTTTGAAAAAATGTTTAAACGGCTTTTACTTCAATTCTCTTATTGTATTTAAACGGGTTTCTCTCAATGTTTGTACTTGTTTAATGTTTGAAAACTACTACACATCCTGCCTTCTTCGTCATCCGTGCCATGTTATTGTTTTTAAAAATTGTTCTTTCTAAAAAACCCCCGATTTGTACATTTTCCTCCATAATTCAGGTAAGATCATTCGGTTTATAGCCATGCTGTTTCTAATAGTTTTTAATATTCAGTATGGAAAGCAAAGTTAGAATGTCAAGCTTCACGTAAAAAATTTTTTAAACCACATTTCGCAGACTAAAGAAGTCTTTGACAACAATGTCAGATTGCTAGAAGGTGAATCCCATGAACTTCAAAATAAATATTCACGAAAATTATTCTGCTTGCCACATTTCCCGAGTTAGGTGTTTACAGGCCAAAAAAGAAATAATGAAATAAATAGTCAATAAAATTACAAAGCTTTTATTCATGGTACACTTCCAATAAACTTTGAAAAGAATAAAGCTATTATATACACTCTATCCGTTCGCTTATCGGTTTGTCAGCTTCTCATACCCCGCTTCCACTCCAAGCCATAGCTCTTCAAAATAAAAAAATTTTTCATAAAATATTATGTCTAAACAAAAACAATTTGCAAATTCCTCTACCATAAATTTGCAAATTCTTCTACCATAAAAGAATATAAGGAAGTATTTGGCTATTGAATTAATACTCAAAATTAATCATAAACTCAAACCGGAGTTTTTTCTTATTTTTGGGGCAAAACTTACATAGTAACTCGTGAGTTTTTCGAAGTTAAACATTTTATAGATATCAATGAATTTTTATTTTACTAAAACAAAAATTTTTTGTTACTCCACTCTCTTATGAGTTATAGCCTGATAAATTAATGTGAATAATGAATTTAATGGTTCACTTAACCAAAAGTATCCCCTCTTGTCTTAACTAAACCAATTATAAAGTTAATGTGAATAATGAATTTAATGGTTCACTTAACCAAAAGTATCCCCTCTTGTCTTAACTAAACCAATTATAAAGTTACGAACACAATTTATATGCTTTCTATGATTTAAAATTTTTCTAAAACTGCTACTTCATGATTACTTTATATATGCAAATTTATTTGATAATAAGAGAATTATTTCAATAGATGTTTTTCATTACTTAGATCTTAAGTTACATATATAAGTACAAATTCCAAACTTCAACAAGAAAATGTTGCATTTTACAATGAAAACTTCCCTTTTTGCAATGAAAACTGTTTTGAAATACAAACCATTTTAGTATCATTTGATCTTATAAACCATTTTAAAATAATTCAAAAGACAGCTGGAAAACACTGTCCGACACTGAGAACGAAGATTTACTATTGTACTACATTTTTTATTAATTTGGTTTCTTGTTTGTTTGTGCGGAAATCAAATATAATTGCATTTTTTAGAAAATTTTAAACTCTAATAACTCAGCTCTTAGATGAAGAGAGCTCCTATGGAGCTAGGAAGGGGCTTGTTGGAAAGGTTTCGATAACAGCTTTAATCCTATTGGCTCCAAATATCTTAAGGGGCCCCAAATAATCCGAAAGTAACTAAAGACTCCTAAATCTAGTGAAGTGGGGTACAGTCTAAAAGGTGGTGTGTCAATAATAATTACATTATGTAGAGTACTTAAATATTATATATTTAATTGAAAAAAACTTGAAAACGCGAACTTGAAAACTTCCTATCCATTAAAACGCGAACTTAGTAGGTAATGTGAGTTTCTTACATTACCTACTTACAAGAAGAAATGACATTTTTAACTGACTTTATTGATTATTTTGTTTTGACAAATAATAAATATGTATTTATGAAACGGAGCGCACTTTGCCAACGACTGCTGTAAACCAAAAATTACGAGAAATCTAGTTGTCTAATTAACCTTGTAGTAGAAAGTAGGCAGCCTAAATTTTGGAAAATCCTTAAATTCATATTTAAGGATTTTCAAAAATTATTACATATGCACATATTTACATTTTTTATCTAATATTTACAGAAAATCCACGTAAAGTAACAGAGCCAACTATTTGTTGAATAAATGTTTGACTAAAATAATTAACACAATACATAAATACCGCGAAATAAGAAATTATAAAAACGAAAAAACAAAATGGTCAATAGTAAAAATGAACAAAAAACATTTTCATAATAAGCACGATAAATTTCTTTATTTTTGTATACTGTATACATTTCTTTGTAACGGTATTTTAATTAATAACGTAAATAAAATCATTTTAATAATAATAGTTTTTATTTTCTCTGAAGTTAAGATCGTAATTGATATCCCAAATATCGATTTTTTTTATTAAATTTGTTTATTGGTTTTCTTATTAATTTATTTAACATATATGTATATATATATATATATATATACAACTTTAAGGAATATATAAATATATATAAAAATTCCTTATATATATATATATATATATATAAATTTCTTAAAGTTGTATTTAAGTAACAATGTCGCGTCGAGATTAACAAAAATAAATAAATAAATAAATAAAGAGAATTAAGAAAACAAAATTGTAAAAATTTAAACAAAAATTTTTAAAACATTATTTTTTTTTAACTTCTTTTTTAATTTTTTTTTATTTTTGGTAGAGTTTTAAGGACAATCTTCCAAAATATTCGAGTCACATTTGTTTTTCTTCTTTTTGTGTTTATGTAATTTTTTTTGTTTGTTTATAATATAATAGTATATATAAATATATGATGTACGTAAGTATTTTTCATATAAATAAAATATAACTAACATAAATAAGTTATACACGACCCTTTTAAGAATATCTAAACATCAAACAAAAATTAAAAAGAAAAATTATGAAAAAATCAATATTATTTTTGATCAAATAACTTTCAATTTTGACATTTCAAATTGTTTTCTGTTAAATTTTATAAATTGTATTGTTACGGTAAAAGGTAATTAATTAAAAATAATATAAATATATATAAATATATAATTTAAATAACTAAAAGCGTTCAACAAACAGCTATAGTAATAACAAATTAACAAAAAAAAACTAATGTTTTGTTTTTCTAGTTTTTGTTCATATAATAACTAATTTTATATATGTAATAATATTAAAAAAAAGAAAATTTAAAAATAAAACAAGATTATAATTATTTGATGTTCAAATCTAAATAAAATGTATTAAAAAAAGTTAAAATTAAATATCTTATAAATTATATTAAGCAAAAAAAAAAATGTATTTTATTGAAATACTAAAAGTAAATTTCAAATTTAAAATTTCAAACTCAAACATATTACAAAACGTAGAATGGTTTTAAAAATGTTATAGCAATTATTTAAAAAAAAAAAATAATTGTGATTATAATTTCACCTAATCTATGAAATAACAGTTTATGACAAAAAAAAATCTGGTGTAATTGAAAAAAGTATCAAAGATTTAAAAAAAAAAAAATTTTTTGAATTTTCCTATTTTTCGTCAATGCATAATTCAAAACAACATTTGACTATTTAAAAGCTGGCACATTGCTTGATATTATAAAACTATACAAAAAAAAAAATTCAATTTAAATCAAATTTCTTTAAGGAAAAAAAAAATTAATTTCACAAAAGTACTAAATGAGGAAATTAAATGAAAATTAAATAAAATCTAGAATAAATTTTTAAGATATCTGTTCATTTTCTTATTACAATCGAAATAAAAATTTCTTATATAATAATAATGTTAAACATTTTCTTGTTTTTTTAATTTGAGTTGAAATTTTTACATTTTTAATATTAAATTTTAAATATTGCAAAATTTATATATATATGTATATTATGAACATTGTATATAAGCAATTGTATATTAAACATTTCCAAATTTAATTAATTTTTCAAAATATAATTAAGTTATTTATTCATATAACTTTACATAATTTTATGTCACCATGATAGTTTGTATTATACATGATATATATATAATTTTCTGTACTAGTAATCATTGTATAATAGTTAAGAAAAGTTTCTTTATGCAATGATTATTGCATTTATTATAAATAAACAAATGCAAGATGAAAAATGTAACCTAAAAATCGTAAATGAGTGAGTTCAATCTCTACATTTAAGAATATATTATTGATTTTATGTCAAAAGAGAAATAAATCGAAAAAAAAAAAACAATATTAATTTTTACAATCGTCTAAAACGAAAAACAAATTTATTTATTAATTAATTAATAATCCAATATATAAACAATTTTCAAATATTATCAATCAATCTATTTTTATTTGAATTTGAATTGAATTATTTAAATATTTATAATTATTAATCCAATCAATAAGATAATTTTTCTTGATAATGCTTTAAATGATGATTTCATATCATTTTCATATCATTTATAAAATTTTATTATTAAATTTAACATGATAAAGGTTTAAATTGATCAATTCTATTGCGAAAATCGTTTTACAATCTACTGAAAGATGTCAACGTTATACAAAAAAGTTAAAGAGTAAAATTTGAAATTATAATTTATCAATTGGCCAACAAAAATATCCGTAATGATACTAAATACAATATTATTTTTTTTTTAGTTTTTGGCTTTTCTAGTAAAAATAATATAACAAAATACATTTATATATATGTAATTTTTATTTTGGTATTAATTATAAATTTCAATATCATTTTTATATGTTCAAATGTTGTTCTTTTTTTTTGTTACTGACAAATACTTTAACTTAAAAATATTACGCAAATTATTTTCACTAAGCCTTTTTTAAGAATCAAATTTTTTTATTGATATAAAAAATCACTTTATTGAAAATGTTTAAAAATACAGCAAAAATATTCGTAAACAAAAAAAAAAAACAAATTAAATTATATTTTAATTGATCTTGTTTAAGATTAAAAATATTTGATGTTAAAATCTTTATTTGATTTTGTTTGAAAAACAATTTGTTTTTTATACATTTGTTTTGTATACATACAACGCCATAATTTTCTGTACGTTCATTTTAAGATAAAATGGTTTTAATACAAAAAGTTATAGTTATTTGATTACCATCTTCAAGAATAATAATAAAAGAACTTACTATCAATTATTAATAGCTTTTAGAATAAATAGAACACATATATTTATGTCTAAATTTAATTTTGTTTTGAATATATTATCTTGACTTTGAATCAATGTAAATTTTAGTTTTTAAAATTTAAGAATGAATAATGTTTCTTTCTAATCTTAAATTAAATAAAGAGAACAATAATTTTTAGTTACTATAAATTAAATGAAATATTATGACAAAAATGAATAAGATAATAAATTATTAAAAGAAAAAAAAACAAACTAATAAAATAATATATACACATATATATGTATGTATACACATAATATACATATATAAGCCAATAACAGAATCTTTAATTATACAATTTTTTTATAAATTTATTTTTTTTTAAACACATCTAGATTTTCTTTTCTAAAAATCTGTATAGGGCATATTAGCACCACCAGTTGCTGTTATACCAACTGAACCAACACCAATCCCCGGGCCATCAGATAAACCAAATGTTATCGGTTTATAACAATTTGATGATTGTCCCCAACCACGTGCGGCTGTATTATAATTTTTACATTTATTATAACTACCACCATGATGATGATGAGATTTTGGCGCAACTGTTTGAGATGTTGTTGAGGAAGACACATTATACGATGATGTTACATTTAATGGTGATGATGATGATGTGATATGATGACCCCCAATACCACCAACAGCACCACTACCAACTGGTGCTGAACTTGATAAATATTGACCTGATGGTGATGATATATTGCGTGGTTTTGATGGTGAACGTATTGGTATATGATGTCTTGGCGGATAATATGATGTAGTTACATCATCTGGATCTGGATTTTCAAATTTAGCCAATTTTTCATATGGCAATGGTGATGGATTAAAATTAGTTGATGGATGATGATTAACAACACCACTAGTTTGTTTCCAATTATTAATTCCTTTATATGATGGTGGTGATGAATAATATTGTGCTGATTTATTCGATAATGGAAAATGATGCTGCTGGCCACCAGCACCACCACCACTACTACTTTGAGATTGTTGTATTGTTGTTGCTGAATATGATGATGAGCCACCATATTCATTATTACTGCCACCAATACCACCACCACTTGTTGAACGAGTAATTGCTGATTCATATGCTGAATGTGTTGATAATGGAAAAGATTTTGTTACTTCATAATGTGATGATGTGTTATCAGTTGTACATGATTGACCATAATCATTATATGATGCTAATTTTTCATTGTTTGATGTTAATTTTGTTGTTGTTGACGATATTGATGAACCATAATTTGTCGTTGGTAAACCATAGTTTGAATATGATGTTGATGATGTTGAATAATTACTTGATGTTATTGGAAAACTACTAGTACCACCACTACCATAACCAGATGATGAATATGCTGATGGGTTTGATGGTAAATATTTTTCTGTTGATGGTGGATTATAACCATCTAAAGGTATTTCTTTAGGAACGTATAACTCTGTGAGAAATCAAATAAAAATTTTACATTAATTCATAAAAATATTTTATTATACTAAAGTTAATAATATACAAAAGATCAGGAAAGGGAAAAAAAAAAACAAAAAATTTGTTAAAAAAATTAAATGAAAGCTTTATTATTTTGTATATGGTTGGCAGGGAATGTTTTTAATTTATTTGTTTGTTGATAATATGTGTGGTATAATGTGTGATATTAATATGTATAATTGTAAAGCATTAAGAATTATTATAATTTATTTAATAAAATGTATATATTATCAATATTGTTTTAAGTTTTATATTAATACATAGCTTGTACAATGTACATATATTTTTTATTAGAAACTAATATAGGAATACAGCTCTTACAAAATTTGAAATAAAACAAGGCCTCTTGTACAAACCACTTTTCAATTTTTAAATCAATTTATCAAACATTTGTAAATCTTCTGTTGCACCAAATGTCAAAAATTAAATGTAGAAAAAGTATTTTTTTAAAAGTTAAAAAGTAAAAGTGGTTCATTCAATAGAGCCCAAACATCACTTACAATTTTAACAATAAGTTTTCGTTTTTTATCTTCTATAACAAATTGTATAAATTTAACATGAAATAGAAATAAAGAATTACACCAAATTTAAGAACTCAAAACTTATAAAATATATATAGATACGTACACAAAATGCAAAATTTGGAAAAAACTTTAACTAAACATCTCTAAATGATATATTTGGATCAAAACCAAAAACAACAGAACTAGGATTTATTTCATTGCTTTTGATCAAAAATAAATAATTGGTAGCCTTTTTCATTTTTCATTTAGTTTTTTAGAAACGGAAAAAAATAAAGTCATTTTGACGATCGATTGACAATAATTTGATTTCATAACATCTATTTGCATGATTAATGTCTTAAATATCAAAATTCGTTATTGAACAATTACTTTTTTCAAATTAAATAAATTTTTGCTTATCAAAAATGCGTTAATTCGTAATTTAAGAAACGATATTCTACAGAAATATAGAATATTTAGTGAGTGCTAACTACGGTTTTTCGTCTTAAAACTCATAATATATGTAGTATCACGTAGCATACGAGTACGAAGAATTTGTAGATAAATAAAAACCATACAAATCGTAAGTTTTATGTAAATTTTGGAATTTTGTTGTCGTTTCGTTTTTAGTTGTACGTTAAGATCAAAAATCTTTTCGATGAACCACGAAATGTAAGTTAAAACAATTTTACATTTCGATCCCAAAATGAAGAAATCTTAAAACTTTTTTCGAAATATTTAGTAGCAAAAAGTTTCATAAAATTTTGTTTTTAGAACAAATAACTTTTATTTTAAAAAAATCTTGTGAGATCAGCACATAACCGACCGCATTGTGTATTGCCTAGATTAGTAAAAGTATTCCAGAAAATTATGAAAATGCATTTTAAAAACTTCTTTACAATTTTAAGGATTTAAGCTTTTAGTTAACATACCTAGAAAAATGTATGTAATAGTAAGTAGAGTTTCATTTTTTGCCATTCCAATTATACGAAAAATTCGTCAGTAATTTCTGATAATAACCAAAACTCAAATATTAGATTTCAAGAAATTTCATCAATTCGTTCGTAGATATAGTTGAAAATGTAAAATCGACCCCAGATCAGTTTCCGAGCCCTGATCTTTCTTTTAATTTATAGATTCATTGATAATAAATATCAATTTCAAGATTCATTGATTATAGATTCAATGATAAAAAATTTATAGATTCATTGTTTAAAAACCTGGAATAGTTTGAATATTTTTCTTTATATACGCAAAAATGTATATTTGGCCCGTAGTAAACGTTCAGTTCCTGGCACCTGATTTCTTCTAAAGTTAGGAGGTTTCGCGTACGCTCAAATGAAGCTTATATATGAAATTTAAGGTAATATCTGTTAAATGTTTTCTTCTAACTGATTCAAAATGTAAAACAGGCCCACTAAAAAGGCCAGTTCGCGAGGCCTGATATATCCCAAAAGTTGACCAATCCGTGCCATAGCCAAAGTAAACTCATATATAAAATTTCATCAAAGTCGGTTCAGCCGAAGTATAAAACTCGATATGCAAAATTTGTTGCCATCGGATCACCTACCTTATTGTATACACCATGTGATCGGTAAAAATTTAAGACATTCTCTATTTACGATTAGCGTTAATGTAATTGTTGTCTTTTATATGTATCCTTTAAATATTATCTAATTAAATATTTAATAAATATAAAACTTTAAAAAATGTTTAATTAATAAATAACTTTAAATGATATTAAAAATTAAAAAGGCTTTTCATTTTTGTTTTATATAGAAATAAAATAAATTTCCTTTTTATTGTTCCAATTATTGTAAAAAAAAATATTATAATAAGAGTTTTCCCATAACTATGCATCGACGTAAAATAAAATCAGAAAATATTATTTTACATTAACGACTAAGAGTAAAATTCAAATTGTAAAGTAAAAAATTACATGTGATTGCTATGTTAACTGGTTTAAATGTTTCGTGGTTCGTTTCCAGAAATTTTTACCCGTATTTCTAAAAATATATTTGTCAAACGAATTTTCTAAATAAATAAAAATATGCACGAGCAAATATTTAAATTTTGCACAAACGGTTTGAGTCAAACATATTTTAGTCTATTGGAGTCTGTTTTTCATACATGAAACAACAACAATATCAGTAAAAAATTTCCACAAATGCTCCGATACTTCGATGCTAGACTAGCTTGCAGTGTTACTTGAAGCTCTTTACATACATATACATATACATGTATGTATATTTTTATGAGTAATAAATTTATTTACAAAAAAATTAAAAAATATTTTTTATATTTATTTTATATAAATTTTACAGAGTAAAACAAAAAAGCCAAAAAACAAAATTTTATGACAATTTTACAGATGACAAAAAACATTTTTTTATTGTTGTTGTGGTTGGGTTTAATTTTTATACGAGTATTATGAAACGCTAAAACATATCGCAAATTTTTAAGAAATAAAATTGTTATTTGTAGGTTTAGCAATTTTCCCAGTACCAGCAGAATTTGAAGAATGTTAATTCATTTCTGCAGTCTTTTCTATAACATTTTGAACTCGAGATGATGCTCTAAAATAACTTTGAAAATACATAATGTATATGAAGACGTAAAAATATTAAAATTCAGAGAAATTTATTTTAATTGAACGTATGTATATTAAATATGATTGAATACCGTGGAGTTGTTGGGGATGAATAGGAACCGGGTTCATGCTATTGCGAATTTCTTATGGAAACGTAGCGAGGTTACAATAAGTCGAAAGATGTTTTCTTGCTCAAATCGTTTCTCTTGAAAAATTTATAGATCTATACAATCTTTAATATGATTGAATATTTTTTTCGTCATGTTTAAAAATCGCAAAATAATTAAAATTAAAAGAAAATTACCGAATTTTTTTATTTGATATATGTACCTCCAAAAATGTAAATTTGTCTCTTGTTTAAAATTCGATTTTTCTAAAAAAATTTTTTTTTAATGTTACTGCGACAAATTGAGCGCAAATATAAAATTTCAAAAAAATTTGATTGTTTAAAAACGTTAGATATAGTTTCTCTGAAATGAGGTCGAGGTAGCAAAAGTGTATTAAATACTAATTTTCTTTAAAATCATTTAAGATGGGTTTGAGATATCATAACGGCACAAAAGTCAACAAGTGAAATTTTGTGAGATCTCATAAAACATTTGCCTGCCTTATGCGATAGATTTGTAGCGTTCTAATACATTTTTTTTAAGTTAAACCAATCAGAATAAAATTGATCATTTTGCCAATATTTAGATAATATTCTATATAATTTTGAGATATGGAAACCAATTTGTTTTAAACATTCAATTACTTTTTTTCTTTAAAAAGAAGAAAAAACAAATTTATAATTATTTTTATGAACTTATAGTCAGAAATATATAAATATATTTTTGATTATAAGCTTATATTATACATTAACGTATATATATACAGGGTTTCCGGAATTCAATGGTATTCCCGAAGCAGAGTGATAGAATGCATGCAGACGAACAAAAAACATCTAGTGCCACTTTTCTTTTTGCGCCCTTGCTATCGAGTTATGGTGCCTCAAAATTGGAACATGCAAAGACCGTCTAATTTTCACACTTTTATTTATAACTCGGGAAATATGACAGGTAAATCCAACTTTGTGAACTCATTTTAAAGCTAATAAAACTCTTCTTCCAACGGTGTAACAGTAGTTGCAATGACTTTTTTAGTTTCAATTTTTTTTTAAATTTGATCTTGAATATCCCTCGTAGACACGATATTTCTGAAACTTTTAGAAATATTTTGTAGAGAAATAAAGATAATGAAAATGTCTTTCGTTTTGAAAAAGAAAAAGTGAATGTTAATAATGCATAATACTTCGTAATAAGGATTAAAAAAATTTATTTTCTTTGAAAAATACTTTGTTTTAGTTAATTTTCTAAGGTTTTGAGCTCAGTTTTCGCCTAGTAGACATGTTATTTCTAAAATTTTTTCCTCATTAATTTCCCTATATTTTGCCTTCATTTTGTATCAAAATGAAGTTGGATATAGAGCTCTTCTTTCGTAAAAAAAACACCATGCTAATAACGTGGAATTATGAGTAAATGATGGTTAAACGAAAATGTAGAAAACAAAATTTTAACAAATTTTGACTTTGCACTTGAATTTCTCTGAAATTAAAAAAATAGTTACAACCGTTGCTATATAGCTAAAAGGAGAATTTTATTAGATTTAAAATGAGTATACAAAGTTGGATTTACCTATCACATTTCCCGAGTTATAAATAAAAATGTGAAAATCAGACGGTTTTTACATGTTTCAACTTTGAGGGCCCATAACTCGAGAACAAGGGCCCAAAAAGAAAAATGTTATTAGGTGTTCGTCTGCATGCATTCTATCACCCTGCTTCGGGAATACCATTGAGTCCCGGATACCCTGTATATATACACACATATATATATATATATATATATATATATATATATATATATATATATATATATATATATATATATATATATATATATATCTACATGTATAGATATTGCATCACCAATTATAAGTTGGGCTATCTAAATATAGACCTAATGTTAGACTTTAATTTATTCAGTTAGTTGTGTATTGCGTAATTGTTTATCAATTCGGTATTACCGTAATTTTGAAATCACGGGATATTAGATTTGTATTTATGCCCCTACCAAAGTACAGATATAATGTAGTTAAAACAGTATTGCTGAATGAGTCAAGTTAGAACTAAATACGTAGACCTGCAAAGATCTGTCAAACATTAGATCTACATACGTACACAAAGATACGACTCGAACCCGACTTAAAACTTATTAATTGATAACTTACGAATTTCTTTTTGTATAGAAGGTATTCAGATTTGGTATAGAAGATGTTCCTAGTCATTCGAGTTTTGAAATGCTATAATACTTTAATTATTCATAAAATCAAGATAGAGTATATACTTATAATTGGGTGATTCAATATACAATATATATATATAAATAATCAACAGATATGTACATATTTTCAAAACACATATAACCAAATGTTACATTAGAACCTTGAAATATACATATAGGTATTATACTATATAATAAATACAAGTTTGGTATAAACAAAAATATGGAGATGATCTATAATTCACATATGTACTGGAACTTCTAAATTAAATCTTAAAAATCTTTTTACATTTACATCTGCAGAAACTGAATATTTTACTTTTGCAGATTTGTAACAATATACTCCAGTAATTCTTTGATATCCGATATTTTTCTTTTATATGCTTAAAAAAAATTGAAAAATTCTTCTAGAACCGTAAGCGCAATAATTGTCATTTTCGAATATGCTATTTGTGCAGATTTTGTAGTTTGGATTTATCGAACGTGCTTTATATTAAGATAAACATAAGTTAGAACTATGTTCCTGAATATGTATTTTGAATTATCGAGAATCCCCTATTTCTGTTTAACGTTTATATACAATAATTTGATTACCTTACGGACAACAAGAATTGTTCAAGGTTCTAATAATGTAATCAAAAATAAAAAGTAAAAAAGAAAAAGGAAGTGGAAAAACTAAAATTAAGTCTTTCTTGTATGTATAATATAAAATCGTGTAAATTAAATTTTATAATTATGTTCTTGCCTTTATTATTATCATTTTCATCAGTTTTATTATCGTTATCATTTATTCGTTTAACATTATCATTTTGATCCATTTTATTATTATTATTATTATTATTATCTTGCTTTAAGTTATCATTATATTTATTACTTGTCTCTGCCTCAATGTGTTGTAATATGAAATTATTTTTATTTTCAATATTATTATTATTATTATTATTATTATTATTATTATTATTATTATTATTATTATCATTTTCATGATTTTGTAACATATCTTTATTATTATCATAATGGTTATTATTTACATCATTGTCATTATATTTATTTGGGAACCATATGTTTAATGTTATATTTGATGAACCAGATTTCTCTTTCATATATTTTTCTAATTGTTCTTGATATTTTCTACTTAATGCAAGTTTATCTTTTGTCTGATGTACTTGATGCTCAAATGATGATATTAATTGTTTAACTGGTATTTTTGTATAATTATTATTATCATCATTATTGTTATTATTAATATCGTTATTGTTACTATTGTTATCGTTTTTATAATTATTATTATTATTATTTTCATTATTATCATTTTTAGTATTGGTATTATTGATGTATAAATCATTATTAGATACATTTTTATGAATATTGTTATTATTATTAATATTACCATTGTTATTATTATTATAAAAATTTTGATTATTCTTTATTATCATATTATTATTTTTATATTGAGAATTTTCTTTGGCAGAATTTATCAAAAGAATTTGCTCCGTATTATTACTATTACTATTATTATTATTATATTGTGTTTGTTCTTCAATTTGGTTTTGTTGCTGTTGTTTCTCCTTGTTCAATAGATATTTTTGTTGAAATTGCTGTTTCTGTTGATACTGTTGTTCCTTTTGTTTCTTTAATATTTCATTACTTAATTTACGATGATGTAATATGCGTAATTGTTTCTCTTGTTCTTCAAATTTACGTTGTTGCTCCTGTATTTGCCTTTCAAATATTGCTTTTCTTTGTGATACTTTAACATCAATTATATTATCATCAATCATTTTTTCATTATTATTTATGACATTATTTCTATCATATTCATGTTGTTTTAATTGCTCTTTTTTATAAGTTTGTTGCTGATATTGTTGATGTGCTGTTTGCTGTTTTTCCGATTTTATTGATATAGTATTAGAATTTCTATCTGAATTTTCATTTTCCATGATTTTATCTGTTATAACATTTGTATTAGATAATGTAGATTTAATAATACTTGTATTATTAATACAGTTTTTGAATGTTGCATATTCATTTAATAAATATTCATTATCATTATTATAATTTACAACATTATTATCAATATTATCATATTTTAAATAATTCTTATCAAAATGGTGATTATAATCATATTCATGATTATCAATTTCATGCGATTGTTGTCTTTTATATTGTTTTAATTGCTGTTGTTGAACGAAAAGTTGCTGTTCTATAGTATTTATTGTTTCTTGATTTTGTTTATGTTTCTCCAGTTGATGTATTTGTAATAATTGATGCTGTTGATGTTCCTGCTTTAATTGTTGTTCGTGTTCCTCATGCTGCTGATGTTGATATACAATACCACTATCTATTGATGTTGTTGCAGATGGTGATTCACTACTTAAATTTTTTTTCATTTGATTTGTGTTACGATATTCCATATTACAGTTATTATTGTTATTATTGTTTTTATAATCATTTATATCAAGATTGTAATCTACATTATAATCAGTATTATTAATATCTGTTGTAATATCATTAATATAATTATAATCATTATAATAATTATTATTGTATTTATTATTATTGAAAATTTTATGAGAATTATTATAGTTGTTATTATTATTATTAATATGAAAATTTCTGTTATCTAAAAATTGTAATTTATCTAATATAGAAGAAGCATAATAAGCTGATGATGATGTTGATGAAATTGGTGATATTGCTGATGAATATTCTTTTGTTATCATGATAATTTTATTATTATATTATTTTTAATTCAATTTTAAAAAAAAATAAAAATTTTATTTATTAATATTAATTAATTTTATAATTTTAATATATTTAAATAAATTTTGATTTTTATAAGTACATAAATATCAAGTAGGTGGTACAAGATACCAGTAATCAAAAAATAAATAAAGTAGCACCCAACAAGTGAAAATACTGCTTTTAAAAATAATCTATTATATTATTAAAACTAGTTTCATACATATTATACCAAAATATTTCTAATATTGCATACATTTGAGATGAAGCCAAAAAGAAATTAAAAAGTTGTTAACATGATGCTCGAATGCAACAGGTAATTGCGTGAGTTTAAAAAAAATATATATTTTTGACGGCATGGCATTTGTTAGCTTCCTGCGTTTATAGCAATTTGGAAAAGCTTGCAGTTGCGAAAAATATGGTGCCGAAAGTTCGAATTTTAAATATTTCAAGAGCTGATAGCTTGAGAGGAAGCTGAGGTTGAAAAACATTTTCTTCTAACGAAATAAACTATTTATTAATATCTAAGTGCTGCTATCTAAAAGCCTATTAATATTTTTTGGTAGCAGTAAATTTTAAGAGCCATTTTGTCCTTACAATACTCAATTATGCTATACCGTGGTAGAAGAAGCCTGTCGCAACATTCTTCATTTGCGAAGTATGAAACGTTTTTGGTTTCATTAAAATAAATAGCAAAAATTACATTTTTATATTTTTGAGGGGCTAAAATTTTTTGGACGGGAAGATAAGTAAAAATTTTCTTCTACAGAAATAAGTTTCTAATAAAAATATAGTAATAAATTTAGGAATAGTTGACAATTACGGCAATTAAAATCAATAAAAATCAAAATTATTGAGAATTTTTTGATTTTTCACATTTTATTAGGGTCCTTAAAATGTTAACATAGAAATGGTTTGCATGTTACATCTCCTGTAAAGTAAAAGCTTTTCCAACGTTTGAACTTAAATTACAGCTTAAGAAAGTGGCTGTAATAAATTAATACATAAGTGGCTGTAATAAATACAGCTTAAGAAATTCTGAAATAAAAGAATATCGATTTTTTGAAACTTTGACAAAAAAATGTGGGAAGGATTAAAAAAAATTAAAAAAATATAAAATGGAAAAAAATGCGGTTTTTCCAAAGTTTTCCGCTGAGTTTTGCCAACTCTAGTACCAAACAAAAATTTTACCCATTTTTGTACCTAAACAATAATAATAATATAATATTGTACTCTTTACTGAATCACCCGGTATATTTATAAATAAAATGAATTGTAAACTAAAAATCTTTAAATTTTAAAATGGAATAAAGAATCATACTTATTATTATTATTATTATTCATATTATTATTATTATTATTATTATTATTATTATTACTATTATTATTATTATTATTATTATTATTATTATTATTATTATTATAAAATTCGATGATGCACTACTTATGATACATTATTTTTCATTAATTTTATTTAAATGAAATAATTGAAAATGAAATTGAATAAAATTGAATTTGAGGGAATTCTTACCTCTTGGTAAAGATGTTGCTGGTGCATTCCAACCTTGTGGTATACTTGGTTTATAAGCTAAATCTCTTTGGCTATTTGGTTGCCATGCAGTTCTTGGTTGATATGGAGAAGTTTTCTTTAAAAACAAAAAAAGGGGCAAAAATATTAAATAGAACTAAATTTTAAGATATAAGAACAAAGCAAAATATAAAATGGAAAACGTTTTATAGTAGAATTTTAAATTTATAATACCTAACAACTAGTTTTTATATAACCTGAAATTTATATTATATTTTCGTGTCAACATTTTACTTTAGTAATATTTCAGTTTAAGTCTTTATTTTTCAAAAGTTTTTTATACAATATAACAAATTTATAAATTAATTAAAAAAGTACAATAATAAATAATAAATTAATTAAAAAACTATAAATAGGAGAAAAGTTATTAGCAATCTTTAATTGTAAAAAAATTAGTGGCATAAAAAAATTAGTGCTATAAAACAATATTACTTAAAAGAAAAAATTAAAAAAGGTTATAAAAAAACAAATTTAAAAATGTAGCTCATTAAAAAATAAAATTCATTAGTGTAAAATTAATTAGGTAATTTGGGGTTAATGAAAATAAGAATATATATAATTTTGGAGAAAAATAATAGCTGTTAAAAAATTTATTGAAAATTTCATTTCACACTAAGATCAACATTAAGATTATTAAGCATGGAGTGTTTATCTAGTTAAAACAATATTTTTAAATTTCTTTAAACGCAAATCATCTACGTTACGGATTCTAGAGCTTACAACACGTAACTTTTCAAAAATAATATTTTAAACTTGCAAATTTATATTAGATGTAGCAGTTCGATGAAAAATAAATTCTTGAATCAAATTCGAATTCTGAATAAAGTCATTAATTATCCTCCCAGCGATAACGTAAAAAAGGAACTGATTCAGTTTTTATCAAGCGAACGTTAGCAAATAATTTATATTGAGAAATAGTTAAATCGCGGGAACTATGAAGGGAAAATTTTATTGTTAACCTTTCAAAAACGTAGGTAATAATAAAGATCTAATGCTTTCATAGAAAAATTAGATTTTTTAAGGTCTTTCTTTGGAGTGAGGTGCTACAATATTTTTTTGTCGAGAATGTTATTGTGGAAAAAAAATTAAAAATATCTTAAGTGAAATAACTTTAACAATTTCTGCATAATAGAAGACTTAATGGGCTGGGAGAAGGATGGTTTCAATGAAACAATCCTATTTGATGTAGGTGGATAGGCATTTCCTTTCCGTTATTAAAAATAACATTGGAGTAAGGGAGAGCGATTTAAGAGAAAAAAAGTAATAATTTTCAATAGAATTAATGAGCCTACTGTCATTCTCAACCTCTAAAAGTAAATTCATATTTTGAATAAATACTGGACATATTTCAAAATATTGTGTCTAAATTTGAAGAAATGCTTAAAGTGAAACCAAACACTTTGAATGAAACTTCAGAATTTGATCAAAGCCATTTCTCAGCAGTATATTAAAAGGTTTTTTTTTACAGAAGTTTTTATATATGTAGTTTTATATGTAAATTTATTTTAAAAGGCTTTTTAGTTTACATTTTCATGAATTCAACAAATTTACTTCAAATTTCATAATAAGCCTCATTCGACACGTTTTGTAAGGTTTCATGCGAAACCTTGTAACTTTTGGAAGAAATCAGCTGTCACTAACTGGACGTTTACTACGGGCCAAATATACATTTTTGTGTATATAAAGAGAAATAATCTATTGATTTTATTGAAATTTAATATTTGAATTCGAGGTGTGAATTTGAGGAGTTCTGGTTGATACCGAAACTAACTGGAGCGCTTTTCAGAGAACTCGGAGAGCAAGAGCAAAATTTGCATTTTTCTAGGTAAGTTAACTGAAAGTTTACTAACGCTTTAGAAATTGGAAAGAAGTATTTAACAGACATTTTTGTAATATTCTGAAACACTTTCAAGGTCGGTTATATGCTGATCACACTAGATTTTTTGAGTTGAATTGTTATAAAAAAAAAAAAATGAAATTTAATGTAATAGCAATTATTTAAAAATTATAATTAAGTATTGCGGTCAATAATTAAATTTTATCCGCAATAATAAGTAATTTTAAGATTTTGAAGCAATTTTCTTATTTTAAAGTTAAATTTTTTATTAATCGAATCAAATATTTATTAGTTATTTGCTAATAAATCATATAATATAATTTCTAAACTTCCTGCACATATACTTGCAAATATAAGAAATGTAAATTAATAAATTTACATATTACTCCCAATAAAACTTTTGGAAAATATTTTATTTTTTTAAATCACAATTAATGTGATTTGAAATAAAATGATTAAATTTCATTCCCAGGTAAATTAAAATTTATATACATTAATAATAAAATAAACTTAATTTTATTTGTTTTTTACCGGTAATTTGGTTGACTCTGCAGTTTCATAATATGATTGTGATGAAATTTGATTATAATCAGCAGCTCCACCATAATTTTGTGATGATGATTGAAAACTAGATGGTTGTTTAAATGTTGGTACATCACTTTCGAATGCAGCAGCTGCTGAACCAGTTTCTAATGCTGCTTCCCATGGTGTTTTTACTAGTTTAACACGTTGATGACCATATTGTTGGGCATATAAATCAGTTAATTGATCTTGATGCATATTCAATTGAACACGTGCCCTTCCAGCTTCTGAATATGCTGGTAAAATATTTGGTGACGTTGTTGCATATGGTGTTACACCAGATGGGCTAGATTGTGCAGCATTTGTTTCATCAACAATCCATTTCTCAGACTTCTTTCTACGTTTTGCGAACAATTCAGCTCCTAAAAAAATTTTTATATGAATAATAAATAGAAAAAAAAGAATAATTAAAATGACATGATATATAATGGTTTATTTTCGTTAAAACAGGCTTTTTAATTTATTATTGTTGTATTATTGTAAAATTTATTATACAAAAACGCTGGATGACGGTGTAGTAAATTTTATATTTGTTCTCTCTTTTTGATTTCTCCATACAGAGCAAACTTACATTACACATTTCTCTCATATTTAAATTTTATTATATATGTATTTAGTCTTATTATGAATTACGAATTTAGCTACGACGCATACTTTTAAATTATCACAAATTACTTTCGTAGAGATTATGAATCAACAATGGCAATACAATTTTCCGTGTCAAAATCAGTATTTTATTTCAACTTTCAAATGTGTATTTATGTTTTTTATTGCTATTTGGGTGCAAAACTTGCATAAAAAAGGATTTTTTTAAAAACGGAGTTTTGCAGGTTTTTTTCTTTTCCAGTTTTTTGAAAAGTGGCGAAAATTTTTAAGGTTGATTAAAATTCGATATCAAAATTGTTTCTCTCGATATCAAAATTGTTATGTGCGCTGTTCTCATAGCTAGGACAATGCGATAGCTAGAGTTTGTTTAAGTACGAAATTTTTGTTCTTATGTTCTTTTTTAATTTTTCTTTTGAAATTATAATATAACGTTTCCTATTAAACGACAAATATTCAATTTTCTCCTGCAACATGCGCTATCGAAAGCTGTAGCAATATAAATTACTCTATTTAAATAGGTGGATTAAATAGTATTCTGTGTAACTGCTGCCATGTTGTAGTAATGTGAAGAGCCCTTTACATAAACCACGTTATTAAATAGACAAATAAAAAAAATACTATAAAATATATAAGTATTTTCTATACGTAAGGGCTGTTATTAAATACTCACTATCACCTCAATCGCATAAATAGTGCGTAGTACCACAAATTTCAGCAAATAACTATTCATAAGCGGAATTGCGCGGCAATGCGGTATTATATTACAATTTAAGTGTTAGATCATGATGTTTTTTAAGCTGAATTTGTATGTTATTTAATTGTGATTTAAATTAAAATCACAATTAAATATTTCACAATTGGTAATTATGCAAGAAATTGATAATTTTATTAATTATCATAACATTAATAATGAAATCTACAAAAATTATATGAAAATAATTACACCTAAATTTTGTAATATAAATAAATATTAAATAACATGTTGGATATTAAAATTTATTTAATTGTAAATTTAATTGAAAATATAATGAAAATTCGAAATATAACTTTACCATTTAAAAAAAAAATTTTTAATTCCCTCAACATATAATAAGCCTGTAATTTAATTTATTTATTATACCTTTTCCTTTTGGAGCGTTTAAACCAGCAACAAGTTCAGCACATTTATCTGGTGATAACAAACCGGATTCCGTATTATATTCTTGACGTACTGAGGAGAAATCTCGTACTTGACCACGCGGATTCATAACCAATTTAAGTGGTAATTTGTCATGATAGCTATACGATTCATTCTCTTTATGTTCTTCATGATGATAACCATTGAATTCAGGGATATCAGCACATCCTGTATTTTTTATGGTATAAAGAAATTACAAAAAACAAAAACAAAATTTTGGTTTTTTTTTCCTCTTAACAATTTTCATGAAAAAACTTTTTTTTCTTTGCAAAAAATTTGTAATTTTTTTTGTATACAAAATCAAGAAAATAAACCAAAAACTTAATTTGCTTACAATGATTAAAAATACTTTACAAAAATACAAAATAATTTGGAATGGTAGTTTATATTTTGATATTTAATATATTTTAGAAATTAGTTCATAAAACAAAATCTAAAATTTTTGTAGCAAAGTTAATAGAGGGAAGTGTTGCCAGTTTATAAAGAATTTTCTCTCAAATCGATTTAACTAATAAATTAATAGTTGGACTTATTTTGAGAATCGAATAACTAAGTTATAGTGATAACTATTGTAAAAAGTTTGATATTATTATTCTAAACACAAACCAATTCCTATACATGTCCACAATAAAATTATTGAAACTTTTACAATAAATATCACGATCACCTAATGATTCGATGCTAAGAATAAGGTCCAGTGTTTCTGATGTAATGTGAGATTTTCATTATACAAATTGTTTAACTAAATTTTTTTGAGCGTATAGGAAATAGATGTCAACAAGGTGGATATATTTTCAACAATTTTGTATTGTTCGAGTTGTTATAGTACTAAAGAATAATTAGAATTTTCGTGATTAACATTCAATTCGAATTCTTGGAAGTGCCGCATTTAATATTTACAGTATATATCGAAAATGTAGTAACACGGTAGTAATATACAATTAAATAATTACAACTCATAAGTTGAGTTGAAAATTAATACCGTATTAAAGCATTTTATAAGTCATAGTTAGAATATCTGTAACTACCAATTTTTTTATATTATATCCCTATAAATATTTATAATTGCTTAAATCGATACTGTATTTTCTTAACCTTATTACTTAAATTAAAAAAAAATCTGATGTAGTCAGCAAAAATTTGAATTCGGCCCTCAGTTCGGTTCCCGAAACCTGACCCTTCCAAAAAATTTATATGTTCATTGTTTTAACACCTCGAATTTAAATATTAAATTTTAAGAAATTGCTTGATTATTTCTCTTTATATTGGCAAGAATCTAAAATCGGTCCGGATAAGAGACCAGTTCCCAAGATCTGATATATCCCGAAAGTTGATCGAAATAGTTTTGAGCAATATTACACTTCCCTACCATGGAAAAGTACGTTCCCACCGAAAATTCGATATGCAAAGTTTGTTGACATCACATAACCTCCCTTATTGTTACAATGTAGTCAGTAATTATTTACTCTTGTGCTTAATTGATTTTTTTGATTTCGCTCATGAAATCTCAACAAATTCTAATAAATATAGCGGCCACTTTACCGTATTTGTTTTTGCAAAATTTCAGAACTGTATAAGATAGTTAGTTTTTAAGATAGTTAAAAAACTTTTGAAGTTGTATGGCAGCTCCCAGAAGGAGTCAAGCAATTCCAACGACTTTTATTAAACACATTTTCTCTACTGGTATATTCGGCTGTGCGCAATTTCAATACAATAGTTTATAATTTATAATTTCTGAGACATAGTCAAATAAATTTTGAAGTTGTATGGCAGCTACCTGCCAGTACCTCGATTATATTCAATTTAAGCAGGATTCTGGCATTATGATAAATCATTTGTGAAAATTTGGTGAACTTAGCTCAATTAGTTTTTAAGTTATCATTAAGACCGACGGACGGATAGATATGGTGAAATCGACTCGGAATTTGACACTGATCAAAAACATGTATTTAAGTCTATATGTAAGCCCATTATTTCTTAGCGTTGCAAACGGTGAGGCAAATTTAGCATATCTCTCGAACATAAAAAATAGATCACGAATTTCAAATACAAGGAAATTAACCATCGAAACCTAATTTTAAAATTAGGGATTTTGACTTATTTGGACAAAAGTCACATAACTTATTTTATTTATCCATGAACTTCTATTTTAATTACATTTATTTTTAGGCGGTTCATAAATACTAGATAATAAGGTAAGTTACTTAATACCATTCCAAACATAAAAACAAAAATTTAGCCAAACTAAAAAAAATAAGAAAAAGAAACCAAAAAATCAAATAAAATTAGGCTCTTATATAAGAAAAAAAGCTGGGAATGTAATAAAATAAGCTGGGAAATAGTTTCTGATTTTTAAAAAGCAAGCAATGCAAATTCAAAATGAGATATTTAAATAATTATCTCTACATAAATATAAAATAAACATATTCTATATCTAATAATCAAATCCATGTGAAAAACATACCACGCAAATTAAAAAAAAAACTGTACATAAACTAGGGCTTGGAGGATGAGGGGAATCCAATGAATATATTATAAGAATTTATTTCGTAAGACTAAAATATTAAGTTAAAAAAAAATATAATGAAATTAAAACTTTAACCCATCTGATGTTAGATTTTTTCATGATCCCGATTAAAACAAAATCGAATTAATTAATATGATAGTTGTTGCGCAAAGTTTACAAACATTTTATTAAAGACACAAATCACGAAAAGTTCTTATGTAACAATAATTTTCAAATTTACATGTCAAAAATGTCAATTTCAATACGTCATAATGCAATATATTTACCAATTAAATGGTGTTTATTCTTAGCATCAAATCACTAAGTGAATGGTATTTTTTATCGTACGAGTTTCAAAAACTTTATTACAGACACGAATCATTTGTGTGAATTGCCTTGTGTTTATTTTAATAATGTTGAACTTTTTGTGGTAATTATCACTATCATTTAATGATTCAATACTTAGAATAAGCCCCATTATTTAATTCAAGTGCACATTTTTTATAACGCATTTATTGTGCAAATTCAACATCAATTCGATTTATGATGATATATTGCTAAATTAATTAAACTGAAGTTTAATTTTCATTTGGATAGAAGCATACACAATCAAAACATTTGTAATGAAATCAAATTTGCGGTCATATACTATTTGTGACTTCAAAAATTCAAAAATGTAGTCTATTTGTTATACATAATAACAATTACAATTCATAAGCTGTGACATTGAAGTCAGAGGCTGTATTCCTATAACATATCAGATTTTAGTATTCATTCAGTTTACAGTATTTCTAACATAAAAATTCCAGTAATACTTTCGATATTAATTCATAATTCAGAAATTTATAATTATAAGCTAAATTGTTTATTAATACCATATTATTGCATTTTGGAAGTCAAGGTATATTATTAGATAAGTTAGCTTATAAGTTTTAATTGCTGAATTTTGTAGTGATATATAACTTCGATTACCCATACAGCAAGCACGCCTAATATCAACCCTGTTTAATATAATAACGGTTAAGTTCACAAAATTTTTGACAAGAAAATCTCAATATACTTTTACACATATTTGAACTCGCTTTGAAGATTTGAAATCTTTTTGTTTACGACATTATGTTGGCAATTTTTTTACAAAACTATTAAATGTTAACGGATTTTTTTTAGAAGTTTTACAAGTTTAAATAGCTGTCAGTTATGATTTGTAGTTGTCATTGTTTTCAGATTTCCTATTTGTTTACATATTTGTCAGTTAAAAACGTTTTTAGATAATTTCAATGTAAGTACGTAAAAGTATTTTAAAAGCTGAGCATCGCTTAATTTCACAACTCGCCTAAAATTACAAATTCTTAGACATTTTTTTATGTGATATTAAGCTTGTTCGTTTGTATGAAAATTTAACTTCAATTATAAATTTCATTGATGTTGTTTTTGAAAAACAAAAATTATTTATAGAAATCATTTTACGATAACCTAATATTAGAAATTACGATATTTGAGTTATACATCAAATGAGTTTGTGTTTGTTAAGCGTTTATTATTTCATTTATATTTTTCATTATATTATTTCATTTTATTTAAAAATCATATATTTTAATTATAATTTTACAAAAAAAAATATATATATATTCTTTTTATTTATTTATTTTATTGTTTTATAAAATAAAAAAGATTAAAAAAAAAAACGAAATTTATTATTTTGTTTTTGCAGTTTTTTTTCTAATTTTGTAATTACATATATACCTTCACCCTCATGAACCCATTTGACAGATCGCTTCTTACGATTAACATACATCGTTTGACCCTTCGATTGTTGATTGCTAATATCGCTCAATGAATGTGAAATCCTGCGAGCCAACTCAACCTGATCCTCCACGGTTGGATGGAGGTTAGGTGAGTAAAATGCCGAGGATGCATATAGTTTTCCTAATATATGTAATATAATATATATACATAATAAAATGAATATACTTGTTGTTGGTTTTTTTTTTTGTTTTTGTAATTTATTCTTTTATTTTATTTTATTTTGTTTTGAGTTTTTCAATTAATTTTTGTTTTGTTAGTTTAATTATTCAATTTCGATTAAAAAACTGATAATGTAGATTTTGCATTTTTTAATTTTTAATTTTTCTTCTTTATTTTAATAATTTTATTTTGTATGTTACCTTTACATATAGATAAATGCGATTTTTTATTAATAAAAATTTCTAATAAAAATAAATTTTAACTTTTTTTGACTTACAATTAAATCTTGAACAAATTTTTAAGTATAAAGAAAATTTTTGTTTTATTATAAAATAATTAAAAAAAATTAATATCGATTTTTAATTGAAATATCGCGCATATGTAAATATTGTCAAAAAAATGGTCATATTGCACCAACACTTTTTCACTTTTAATTAATTAATCAAAAAATTTAAAATTTTTTTAAATAATCATTCACCCACAAATTAATATTCAACCTGTCAATATCGAAGTTGAAAATTTTTGAATTCAATAAAAAGGTGTATTGACTTAAATGGCTATAACTTCCATAATTGTTAACGGGTTTGTAAAAATTAATATACAAGTCAAAGATGAAAAGTAGATCTTTATAAAAAAAAATATTTTTAGGTAATACTTCAAATAACACGTCAGATTTTTCACAAGGTGATCAATTAGTAAGAAAAATGATGCTATTCAATTTCTTTTTTTTTAAATTTGAATGATTTTAAGTTGGTCTTCAAATTAGCTTTTTAATAATTTTTTTGTGCGATCCGAATTATCCCCGTTTCCGAGATGATTCGGTTGTAAACTGAATGGCTTCCATGAAAAATCATTATTACCTGTTAAGCTTTATCTTTGGTTTAGTTTATTTAACTTATTTAATTAACGTAATTTTTAGCTAGAAAAAAATAACAATTTTTCATTCTTTCCACTGTATATTAATTACCAAACGCATTGTATACAATGAGGTAGGTTATGTATTCACAACGTTTTCGGTGGGAACGCTTTTCTCCATGGCAGAGAATATGTAAATAAACTATTTTTAGCAACCTGTTGGTCCGTCTGTTTGCGTGTGCACGCGTGCATCTTCAGTTCGGCTGAATCGATTTTCATGAAATTTTATATGTGAGTTTGTTTTGACTACATCACGGATTGATCAACTCTTGTGATATGTATATCAGGCCATGGGAATTGGATTTTTTTCCGGGCTAATTTTAGATTTTTGCCCATATAAAAAGAAATAATTAAGCAATTTGCTTGAAATTTAATATTTAAATTCGAGGTGTTAAAACAATGAATCTATTAATTTTTGGACTCAGGGCTCGGAAACTGATCCGGCGCCGATTTTACGTTCTTTACCATATCTACAAAACGGATTAATGGAGTTTTTTGAAATTTGATATTTGAGTTCTGGTTATTACCGAAACAAACTGGCGAGCATTCTCTACTCTACTAAAAGTAAATTAAATCTACTAAAACCAAATTTATATTTCTCTAAAGGTTACTAACGCCTTAAAAATTGGGAAGAAGTATTTAAAAGGCATTTTTATAATATTCTGTAACAATTTTAATTAACTAAACAATACACAATGCGGTCGGTTATGTGCTGATCACATCAGATTTTTGTTTTTTAAATTGGTGAATAATTATGGAAGTTATAGCTATTTAAGTCGACACATTTTTTTGTCGAAATCAAAAATTTGTACTGGGACTTTTGGGGTTATATATCAATTCGCTTTTTCTGGTAGCTGCCATACAACTTCAATAGTAGTTTCTCCATATCTTAGAAAATATTAAAAACACCTTACTGAAATTTTGCATAAATTAATATGATAATATGGCAACTTAAAATCGTAGTGTGTCCCATAGTCAACCATGGCATATTTATTCCCACATAAGATAACAAATTCTTAAGGATATCACAGAGTTGACACGGTCAACTCTATTTTTTCTCGTTTTTTTATTTATTTTGATTTATTTATGATTACAAGATATGAGAAGTTTTTTATGCCAATATATAATATATGGCTAATAAATCTAGCTTACCATATATCTATATTACAACTGCAGTATTGTGTAGTAAATCGCTGTATTACTGTATCTTGCATGTAAAAAAATAATGAAATTTCAACAGATTCGGGTTTGTTTTGAATGCATTTTAGCTTAGAGCAAAAATTGCTTATTTTTATTTAAGTTTAAATTTTAAATTAAATTTAAAAAACAATAATTATACTTAATTTTGAAAATTGAGAAAACCAAAGATTGCAGTGTATGTGGTCATTCGTGTGGTTTTAAATATACAGGGTGACTCGTAACAAAGATCACTGCAATATGCCATTGTATAGGCCCCCATGAGTAGACAAAACTTTTCACAAACGCTAAAATTTCTCAAAGCTGGAGAAACAAGGGTCCGAATTTTCTTCCAACTCAGACAGTTTTCCGGGATGTACAATAAAAAAAAATTATGTATTTTTGTTTAATGGTTAAGCTTCTAATCCTTTTCATTAACTAATATTAAAAAATAATCTAAAATAGAATTATGATTAAATATTTTCGTCGTACAAAACCAATTAAATTGCGATCATACGTGTCCTCCCTAATTTGGTCAAAATATAATGTGTCCACAAGTTTTTGTCTTTGACAGCGTTCATCTCTTACAAGTTTTACTTTATTTATTATTAATTTTGTTGTTATTTATTATCCCCATTTTAACGTGTTTCTTTCTATTTAATAACGTGCGTGACAGTATTTTCGCAGTTCAGATATAATAAAAATTTTTATCTCAAACTTGCTGCGTAATAAACGATTTATTTCAAGGCAAATCTAATGTCTTTTAGATTTATGAACAATTAATGATATTAATTATTGACAATATTTACAAATTAAATGACTATTCGCAATATTGTGACTTAGTATTAATAATTTTCTTATAAATACATAAATACATTCACGACTTCAAAATTTCAGTCACACGATAGGCAATATAATAGTTCAGCTTATAAGTCTGAATTGGAAATCACTTATAATAAATATATAAAAACACTGATAGTTTTCAATTATTCAAGATTTAATTTTGTAAAATTTTGAAAAGTTATTTATTTTTTAATTTAAATTTTTAAGAAATTATATTGTAATGTAATTGCTAAAGTAGAAGTATTTTTGTTTTTTTTTTCATTTTTGGTGTTGATGTGGGATAAAAAGGCTTAGAGGCTATAAGAAAATGGTTTCTATATATCAAAAAAAAAAAAAAAAAAAAAAAAAAACTACATAAATTTTATTACTTACGATTTGATTTGGGTAAAATTTCGTCAGCATCTGTTGCAGGGGTGAAAATTTTTTGTAGATCTACTCTTTTTGTTGTTGATGATGTTTGCTATAATAATTTTGATTAAAAGTTTCCGAATTCGTAATATAATAATAGAACAAATTTATTTTGAAAAAAAAAATTAAATTAAGTGAAAGAACAAAAAGTGAAACAACAAATAAAGCGAGTTTTTTTTCTAAAAAATAAATCCTGTTTTACATCACAAATTTGAACAAAAATTTTCATAAATGAAAAGCTTAAAAAATAAAAACACAAATTTAAAAATAAAATGTAAACATATTTTGTTTTCAAATCATTAATATTTGAAATGTCGTTGGAACTGACAGACCTATGCTTAGATATTCAAGATCGACAAACTATATCAAATAAACTTCATCTCATTCTTATATATCTTGTTATGTTGTATTACAAAACTTGTCAGATGGATCATGGACAAAAAGCAGTAGGGTGAAGTAACTATTTTCTGATCACTTGCAAGGAATTTTTCAACCAAATAAACTGAATTCTAGTGTTTATTTAATATTTAGTAGATTTTGTTATGGATGAAAGTACTTTGGCTCTATCTAAAAAGAAAAAATTTTCCGTAAAGTCGCTTAAATCGAACAAGGTTTTGATCTCATTGCTGCTGAATTATTAGGAGAATTACCGAGAAAGGCATTGATATTTTAAAAAAAAGTTTTAAATAGAGCAGTTAACATAAGGTATGTTTCTAGTGTTTGGAAAGCAGCGGAAGTTATTATGATAGGAAAACCGGAGGCTACTAATGATATCAAAATTTTTTGAAAAATGTATGTTAACAAGGCTGATGCCGATAATAGAAAATAAGAAATTGATTCCAAACTATCAGCAAATAACAAATAGTGTGGAAAAGGCGTTAGAAGAATGGGAAATGTATTCGACAATATTTCTGGAAGTAGCCAAGGCGTTCGATAAGGTTTAGCAAGACGGTTTATTATGCAAACTTAAGAAATTGATACCTTTGCAATTTATGAAGTTACTTGAATCATATTTATCGGACAGGCTTTTTCAAATCAAATAGGACGAGGAGTACTCCACGTTTAGGGAAATCGGGGTTGGTGTCCCTCAAGGCAGTATTCCGGGTCTATATTACTCGTGCTTTATACAAGCGATTTGGAAGATTTAAAGGATGTAACTGTGGCTACATTTGCAATATTGACAGTAGGATCTAGTGTTGAAGAATCGACAAAAACACATTACAGGAAATAAGTAACAATATAAGTAAATGGATAAATACTTAGAAAATAAAGCTAAATGTAAATTAATCTGTACATGTAAATGTCACAAGCAAAAAATTAGTAAACCCACCATAATCGAATTTGAATGTAGCTAAAGAATCAATCCAAAGCACAGCGAAATACCTAGGCATGACTTTGGATTTCAAGCTCAGATGAAAGGAACATGAAAAAAAGAAAAGATTAAGATTAGAAAACAAATATAGAGAAAACCATTGGCTCCTGGCTCGTAGGCTAGATTGGCAACACAAAATAGAGTGTTGATATATATCCAAATGACAAAGCCTACATGGGCGTATGGATTGCAGCTATAATAGATAGAATCATTGTAGCTTATATAGATGTTAGTAAATTACTACATTAATTTGAAGCACAACGCGCAGAAGAAAAAGCAATGAATATCAAATCTCAATTTCGCTTATTTTGCAATTAAATTGCTAAATAAGTCAAGTAGATTTAAGAACTCTACTTAGTTATAGGCACGAACCATTTTACACATAATTTGAAGTAAATTTCAAAAGAACAACTGTTATTGCATGATATGCAAATTACTGCAATAATATCGTATTTTAATATTAATGAAAGAGAATGTAAAATTGCAATTTTGAAGTTAGGAACTATGTTAATATTACTATATATGTATAGAGGGTGACCGGGACTCAATGGTATTCCCGAAGCAGGGTCACAGAATTACATTTTTAGTGACATTTTTCGTTTTGGGCCCTTGTTCTCGAGTTATGGGGCCTCAAAGTTGGTACATGAAAAAACTGTCTAATTTTGACATTTTTAATTTATAACTCGGGAAATGGGACAGGTAAATCCAACTTTGTACACTCATTTTAAAGATAATTAAATTCTCCTTCTAATACATAATACTGCGTAATAGAGATTAAAAGAAGATGTTTTTGTTTTGAAAAATACTTTGTTTTAGTTTGTTTTCTAAGGTTTTGACCTCAGTTTTTCGCCTGATAGACATGTTATTTCTAAAATATTTGCCACATTATCTTATATCAAAATGAAGGTTAGAACATAGAGCTCTTTATTCTGTAAAAAAGCGATAAATTAATAACCTGGAACTATGAGTATATGACGGTTAAAGGAAAATTTAGAAAAAATTTTTTTTTTAAATTCTGACTTTGCACTTGAATTTCTCTGAAATTAAAAAAATATTTACAACCACTGGTAGACCGTTAGAAGAAAAATTTCATTAGCTTTAAAGTAAGTGTACAAAGTTGGATTTACCTGTCATATTTCCATGAGTTATAAATAAAAATGTGAAAAATTAGACGGTTTTGCATGTTCCAAGTTTGAGGCCCCATAAGTCGAGAACAAGGGCCCAAAAATAAAAATGTTACTAGGTGTTTTGTGTTCGCCTGAATGCATTCTATTACCCAGCTTCGGGAATACCATTGAGTTTCGGACACCCTGTATATGTATATATATATATATTATTTTTGTTATTTTTACCTCTTTACTCCATATTTGACGACTTAGGTCTAATAAAAATTGTCGTTTAATTGGATCATTACGCAGATCACTTGGTTTAAAACCACGTTTTTTATCAATTGTACAATTACCAACCGTATGTGATCTCTTAATATTACTGCTACGATTATTTATTCTTAAGTAATTTAAATAACCTGGTCCATCAGTTGATGGTGTACTTGCACTTCTCCTCATTAAATACATTTTTTTTTTATTTTAATTTAGTTTTACTATTTCTAATTAATAAGAATTTCGTAAAATTTTAAAGTTTTAATGTAACATTACATGCTTCTGAGATGGTATACTACCTTTTAATTCGAAAATTTAAAATAATAAGAAAAAGGTATACTTAATGATATCTATTGGATTATTTTATAAGATTATTAATTGATAATTATACAAAAGAAATCTTTAGTTATAAATACAATTTCAGTGACAGATAATTGAAATGTAATCAGCATTCATTATGACTCATCTATCATATCTTGTCTGGTACCTTTTTTTCAACAAGCTGTATATCGAGAACGAACATATCTGCACCCGCATCCCCCGATCCATACAATTTTTTTCAGGAAATTGATCAAAAAATCATCCCCGAAATTATTCGCCACTCTATGCGAAACACCTTCTATATTTAGTAACAAATTATAGTACGAGTATAATGGTCTTAACCCGTTTTAGCTCCGTTATATGTCACTATTGTTGCATTTTTCTTTAAGAGTATATAAACATCCCAAAATATTGGTGCATTAGTTTAGAAAGAAAAGTGAATGAAAATCTGTTTTATAAGATTAATGTTAAACAAGAGTAGAAAATATTCTACAAACTTATATATTTGACTTGCATGAATTTGAAATTTATTTTAGATATCAGAAAAAAAAATATAGTTATATAAATCTGAATTCTCGTTTATTCGTTAACTATAATCTTCGATAACTTCTCCTCCTCAATCAATCAATCCTTTAAACAGGCGACTGTGAGCAGTTAGATATTTTACATTTTGAATGCTGTTTATTTGGTGTGTTTATATGCAATTACAAAAATCAAATCCCCTCTCTTTATTTGAAGAAAACAGGAATCATACCAGAGAGAATAAATCTTCGATGCTTTTTATAAACTTTTAAGATGCAGTATTACAAATTTGATAGCGCATATGATTCATATGGTTCATTTTTTGACAAAAAAAATATTAATCAAGAAAGAAGTAAATTTAAGTTGGTAAAATATGAAATGAAAAAATTATATGCAAAAAACATATTAATTATAATTTTCACATTTTCGATTTGAAATTTGTATGTGTGTATACGCTCCACAATGAAATAAAATATTCTGCAAACTTATATATGACATAAAAGTAATAAATAAAGTTTCAAAGGTCTGTTAAAAAGCGATTTTAAAACTGATTCTTTTATACAAGTTTGAGGCGACAGTATTTTCATATATTACAATTTTGGGTAATGAATATGAATAATTTAAAAGATGAATTTATAATCACACTGTATATATTGATTAAATATATCACAATTGATTAAATTATAATATATATATAGAGTATATGTTGCTAAATATAACATTTAATTTAATTGTTTAAATGTATACTAATTCTTTTTTATTTTCTTTTATTTTTGTGTACTAATTAATTTAAAAAAAACTTTGTTATTATATGATTATAAAAACTCGTTTAAGTTCAGTTCGTTTTCGTAAATTTTACATCTATGTATGTATGTTTATAATAGAGAAATAATTCACTTATTTGATATTTTATTGATATGCAATATCACTGTTATCTATACATTAAATTGTATACTTTTTTCCCCTTTAATATTGAGACATACATACACACACATATATACATATATATGCATATGTTCTTATATACTGTATATAATGAATTATGTATACAAAAAAATATATAAAATATTAATTAATTATAAATTATAAACGAAGTATTTTATTATTATTATCATATTTATTATAATTATTACAAATATCGAAGTTCATAAAATATGATATTTAAAGAAAGAGAAAGTTGTAATACAACAATTTGTGAACTGCTCAAAATGACAATTTTATTACATTTAATTTCAATATTTTCCTCAATCTGAGAACTTGTGTAGTGAAGTGAATTCTACTATTTAAACCATATTTGGGGTGACGAGAATATACTGTATATTGTAAAATAAATATAATATGAATATAAATTGTTTTATTATATATTTTATTCAAATAAACATTAATATAATGTTAATTATCCCTCACATTCAAAATTTTAATTTAGTATTAAAATAAATTTAACAAAAAAAAATTTGC